ATGGATAATCTTGTTAAAGTTACATTGAGGTCTCAGACCATATTCAGTGGCTTTCTTTTTGCATTCTCTGTGATTTCCTGGTCCACTGTCATTGATCAACTTAGGGACCATCAAGGCAAAGACAGGCTGCAATTCAACTGTGTGCCCAAACAAATTGAATTCAAAAGACAGCGTTGTTATGACAATTACACTTCTGCCATGAGTCCACTCTTAACACCGCTGGATTTTGCTGGTATTACCTTTGGTGTGTCAGGATGTGGCTGGCTGTTTGTTACGCTTATGGGTGTCGAGATGTTGCGACGTATCCACAAAGAGACAAATAGAAGAAGGCAAAAAACGTTGAAGAAACAATTTTTGGGGGTGTTTATTGGTCACATTTGCCTCCAGTTTGTCCTTCTAGTTGCCATGATTGTACTGTTCTTGCGTTACCAGAAACTTAAATACCCTGCGGAGTATAGTTGCTTTTCAGCAAACACAACGCTTACATCATTCAACCGAGAAGCGATTACTATTACTTGCAACGACTTACGATACAAAGAGAAATCAAAACTCAACATTGCTATTATTGTGGTCTTTTCGGTATCCATTTTATTCTGTTTATTGACCATAATTCAGTTGGCAATATCAAAGGATGAGCTATCTAAGCTACTGCTAGGAAATATCGAAGAAGACCATAACGAGGAGGAGAACAGACCTTTACAAGGTGAGTTACTAACAATGTTATCAACACTAGTCCTCAACGCCGCCTCACTCACTAAAGAGCACCTTTCTGTAAATTATTATTTTGATCGAACAAGGGACGTATTAAATTGTAGTTGTCTTTATAGTTACCAGGTACCATTTTTATTTACTTCTGCCGCCGGCCCACCCGCCAGCGGCATTTACTTTAATTGTGAAGGGCATATTAGATGGAATGAAAGTCATTAGTCGCTGAGCGTCGTTTGCAAGTGAACTATCTTAGAAATTGTTGTAATAAGTTTATTTTTACTCTGCTGATTGTATAAGACATGCTCTGATTAGTAAAAAAAAAAAAAACCAAGAGAGAATGAAAAACCATATCCCGCAGTGAACACCACATCGCGAGGTTAACATTGATGTTGCAAGACAAAGAACACCTGGATAGGAGGCTACGTACCAGAGTTACGGTGGCTTGACCCCGTTTTCAGTGATAAATAACCACCATTGCACATTGTTGAATATAAGTAAACAGCAAGATAATTTAAAGCACAGAGGTGAACTACATATTACTGTATAACGTTCGTCAATGATTACGTTTACATTAAAAATTATTGGAAATTAATAACACAATAACTGAAATCCTTTAATTAAAACGAGGCCAAATTTTACTTTCTACGCAAAGTTGAAATGTCTGTTTCTTGAACGCCAAATGCATTGTTTATGATTTGTTTTTAATGTAGAAGCCAAAAATTTCAAATAAAGTAAAAATTATCTAAAATTTGTACTGACAATGCAAGAGAGTTACGGGACGGACCATTAGAAAACGTACCGGGGGGGGGCGGGGGGGGGGGGGGCAGACGGAGAACAAAAAATAAATTTTCAAAAGGGAAAAGAAAAATAAAAAAAATTCATACAACACATATAATAATAAAAAATTTTAACTCCTGTCTCAAAAAAAACAACCAAAAAAAAAATATAAACCCAAAATTAAATTAAAAAATAAAATTATATATTTTTTATATATGAGTTATTGTATTTATTGTGATTTGATTTAAATTAATTTATATTAATTAATAATTAAAAAAAAAAAAAAAAAAAAAAAAAAAAAAAAAAAAAAAAAAAAAAAAAGAAAAGAGGAGGGAGGGGGAGGGGGGGGGGGGGGGGGGGGGGGGGGGGGGGGGGGGGGGGGGGGGGGGGGGGGGGGGGGGCGGACGAAGTACAAAAAAAGTATTCGCGCAAGGGAAAATTAAATGAAAAAAAATTCATGCACGCCAATTAATCCTAAAAAATATTCATGCTGTGGCCTAAAAAAAAATCATACAAGAAGTTTGATAACGCAAAAAAATTCCTGCGGCTCGAAAATTCCCCTCTCCACCCATAACTTTTCTAATAGTCCGTCCCTAAATGCACAATGTTTAGTCATATAAGCAGCTTCAAAAACGATTATTCGAGATTTCCCAAAAACTGAGGATATATTTCAATGGTGGTGGTCTCTCTGTCAATCAATCAATCAATCAATCATATCTTTACTTCAATTCGGATATTAGAGCAGTATTTCTGCTAGTATCTCCGAAAGAGAAATAATAAATACCTTGAAATAGAAATAGAAATAGTGCAATTTAAAAAATACATGTAATATTGACATCAATTACACACATAATTATGTACTTCGAAGATAGATCGAGATTTAAAAATTTGATTATTTCCGTTAACCAATCATTTATAATAAGTTTCGCCAGTTTCGAAATGATTTTCATCAAAGTTAACTGCATGTTGTTAGCAATCGAATAACAACGATTTAACCCATAGTCAGAAAACTTCAGTCCTTTGAAAGACTGCTTTCACCAAACAAGACAATTCTCTATTTTCCATTGACGCTTTACCCACTTTACCCATTTAAATGAACACATTTATAAGAAGTTATCATGTTGCATCGCCGTTGTTCGGTGACATGATTGACCTTATGACATGCACCAGGTCTACCAGTGTACCATGTTCATTAAAATGCAAAATAGTTTGGTACTAAAAACGCTCTGATAATCACCTGCATAGTACGTGTTTTTCTTTAATCCCCCTCAACGTCAGTGAATGCCGTGAATTGTAAATTTTCAATCTTGTTCAAATGTATTCTTGTTGCTGTTACAGATGTTGTTTCAAAACAAGAGTCTGCTGATAGAGATCACTCAAAAACAGCATTCAAAATGCTCACAGTCCCATGTTCTCTGAGCATTGCGAATGACGAACCAACTTGCCGTAAAAATGTAATTAAATCATTGCTAAAAAAAACTCGTCCAAGTTTGCATGAAAAATGTGCAAAATGAAATGAATTTTCAGCTATGGAGGAATGTAGCTAGTGCTCATTGTTTTGCCACAAAGAGTATAACGTCGAGACAGTGAATATTTTGTAACACGGAGTCTTAGGCATGTTCGTAAATATAAATATAAAAGTTTCTGAGTTTGAGTTCCCGACTAAAAATGAATGAGAAGTGAGTGAAATTCAGGGCTCTACTGTAATCTATTAAATTCAGTGAGGAGAATTTCAATTAAGTAAGTCTATTTGCAAGGGCAGAGCAAGGACCTTTTAGTCAGGATGGGACTGGGGGGCGGAATTACAAACTTTGACCCTTTTCACAGGTCAATGGGTCACATACTTAAGTCATTAACATTTTGTCTTTTATTGTTGAATGTCCAGATCATGGAGAGGCAAGTAGTGCAGGTGGTCCTGTTAGACATGGTGTTGCTGGGCCTTCAGGTTTAAACATGAAGCAGACTCATCCTGACCAAGGTATACAACTACTAAGGGTATATTGGTAATGAAACCCTGTTAGAGTCATGATATTATTAGAAAGATTAAACAACCACATTGACGACAGCAATGAGAATGTCAAAAAGCAATACGTTTAATAAGCAAAGTAATAACTCTGCAAGTACATAATAATTTTTCTGAATAGTCACTGCGCGACTACAACGTGAAGTTTCCTTATGCGACGTTCTTGGGAGGACTTAAACACATGACAAATTTTTCTTTCTCTTTCTGAACTTGAAAACGGTCCTTCAGAGCCCCCTAAGAGCACATCGTACTGTGTACGTACTAGTTTTTCCTTACACACATACAATAATAGTTAATTATGTAAATTTTTTGTGGCGAATGACATCTGACAAATTGAGAGAAATGAAGGGCCTCATTGGTTTGCTTTTTCCCCAAGAAACTCGTTTTCCTCTTAGAAAGATGACCAGTACTATTACATCTAGAAGTATTCTCCATGAAATTTTCCTGATAAATTAAACATGAATTCCTGCTGTATTTGTTTTTATTCTTGAATGTGCAGATTTTGGAGAGGCAAGGAGTGCGGGTGGTGCCGTTAGACCTGATGTGGCTGCAGGGCCTTCAGGTTTAAATATGAAGCAGAGACATCATGACCAAGGTATACAACTAGTAAAAGTATAATTAATGAAACCTTATGCTATGATCACGGGAAACTGCAGAGGAGACTGGCTCTGCACGGGCGGATCTAGGGGGACAAGACAAAGGGATAAAAATAGTAAAAAGAAAATTAAAAAAACCCTAAGCTATGATCACGGGAAACTGGAGAGGGGACTGGCTCTGCACGGGGGGATCTGGGGGGGGGGGGTAGGGGGTGCGCACCCCCCCCCCCCCACCTCCGAGATGACCTGCGGTTTTCTAATACAACTGGTATTCTGCAAAAAAAAAAACTATGTGGTTTATGGGTGTTGAAGTAGAGCAAGAGACGAGTGCACCCCCTCCTAAAAAAAATCCTGGATCCGCCCCTGCTCTGAAAGCCGGCAACAGTCAAAGATGACAAGAACTGAGCTGACCGTGCACAAGCTTTTGTTTTGGTTCACTAATTATGACTGAATAAATAAATGGGACGTTCGCTAGTCAGTTCACAATGATAGGAATGCTGTTGTATAATTAACGTCGTGCACCGGTTAAGGCCACAAAAGTTAAAAACGTATGACAGAGAATTTAGACGGGCTTCATAACCATTGCACTTCATTAACTATGGCTTAAAGGACCACATCAGTGACAGCTACGAAAATGTAGAAAAAGCAATAAACAACAATTCTATTTGTGCGTCACAGTATATTTTGTGCCCCCACTGAACGACTACAACGTGAAATCATTTTTCTGATTCGACGTTTTATGGGGAAACTTGAATACGTTCCAGCATCCAATCACGTTTGCCTGCACTTGAAATTTGAGCGAGTTGGAATAATCACATTAAAGTTTAAAAGAATACAAATAGACTTCCAAATAGGCTGATCTCTATTAACAAGCTGGTGTCGTGGTATTTAAGCATTTCAGAGGGGATCATGTGGTTGTAATCGAGCGATTTTCGTTAGACCATGAAAAAATGTTTTCCCTATTAGCGCTGGGTAAATATGATATGAGCAAATGACAATTTGCTTGATTTCCCTAAGATCAGTATTTCAGTATGTGAATTTGTAATCTCAAAGGCAAACCCCATGGCGTAAAGTGTGTATCATAATACACCCACATACAAGAAGCTGCTTGATACAACTATGTTCTTATAATTGTACGCGGGTTTTTACCGTAATCAGAACTACTTGTATTAAAATGAGAACCAGAGGAAATGTTTGGAGAGCTGCGTGGATTCAGTGATGATTCTTAGTAATCTGGAATTTCCAAGAGGCTATAGCTAGATGCATATGACACTAAGCTGCAGGTTTTTAATTTTAGGTGGCCTTCTAATATACCTTAATATTATTCTTTGTGTTTATTCTTGAAGGTCTAGATCATGGAGAAGCAAGTAGTGCATGTGGAACCGTTAGACCTGGTGTTACTGGGCCTTCAGATTTAAATATCAAACAGACTCATCATAATCAAGGTATACAACTACTAAGGGTATAATGAAACCCTGTTAGATCGTCCAAAACCTTTTTGTTAAAATATAGTTCGTAGAGGTGACTGGTTATGAAAGCTGGCAAAAATCAATGGTGTTGCTGTTTATGTTAAGGGCTCCCTTACCATGCACAATCGTTTGATTTTGGTTCGTTTCTATTGGTTGTTTCAGTCGAAATGATAGGAATGTTATTAAACGTTGCGCACGGTCAAGTTAAAGCTAACCTAACCCTTGCACCTTATAATATAACTGTGGTTTCTAAACAACCAAATCGGCAACAGCTTTGAGAGAAAGAGGATTTGCCATGTGCTTATAAAATAATCGCCGTAATGGTGGAATAAGTCTTATATCTGAGAGTCTGCAATACAGCCACAACAATCCCTCAATTAAGTGGTATAGATAGGAAGATTAAAGTGTGCATTCGAGCCAAGTGGCCCATCCGGCTGCAAGGGTTCTAATAGAAATTTGAATAGGTTTGAATAGTTGCTCCTTAAACCTCATGCGTTTTATTGGCAAAACTACAAAGAAATGAGCGAAAAATTAACTGACGTTTACATAACTAAAGCATAACGTAAAACCAGTCGGGGCCTTAATCACGAAAAACATTATGATTAGTAAGTTTTCATTCAGATTTAATGATATATTTTTTACCACACTATTAAAACTAGTTGCTTCTTCTTTTTTCTCCCTTTGTTCAAAACTACTATGTTTACACAGAGCCGTCAATCACAGCAGATTCATGAAACCGGTTTTGATAATGTCGTAAACAAAAAAATCATTAAGTTCGCGACTAGAGGCTGAAATTCAGGCCATTTTTATTCTTTAATGTCCAGATCATGGGAAGGAAAGTAGTGCAAGTGGTTCCGTTGGGCCTGGTGTTGCTGCAGGGCCTTCAGGTTTAAATATCAAGCAGACTCATCATGACCAAGGTATACAACTACTAAGAATTTAATGAAACCCTCGTAGGATAATGGAAAACTGTTTTTTTGCGCGTGTTCTGAAGTTTATGTTGGGAGATTTCTGACCGTGCAGATTCCTTTGTTTTGGGTTCACAAATTGTGACTGAATAAATTAATGTGATATTTCTATTGGTCAGTAAGTTTAAAATAATAGGGATGCTGTTGAACGTTGTGCACAGTTATATTTAGTCCAAAAATACTACCAAAAACTGACATATATGAGACAAGTCTGACGGGCTTCATGACGATTAAACTTTATTTATGGCTTTTGGATTGGTTCTAGGACAGGGCATGAGCAAATCCTTGTTTCAGGAATGACGTTTAAATGGCTAAAATATAAGTGAAACCGCCTGGTATGTGGCTGTCAACTGATCCTGACATGGCTTTAAAAGGTTAAATTACAAAGAAAAGACTGAAAAAAATAGGAAGGTTTTTGAGTTGCTGGAAATACCAGTTAGGCTCGCGTTGTTAGGGAAAATTACTGTTACAAATTACAAGTGGTTTACTTCAAATCACTTCAAATCACGTTTATTGTCCCTTTTGCAGTCAGAAGACTGAATTGTAGGATACCTTACAAGCTGTGATATATATACTAATACGCTACATTTATTGACAAGACTAATATTTAACACTAACAAAATTTGAGAAACGTTCAGTCCTTGTGGCCATGGGCCTGCTAGAACTCCCTGATCTTAGACACACACTGGTAGATATAGGTACCACTCTGTTGTGTATTAGATTACCTGGCCGAACCTTACCTATAAATTTAATGCACGAGAAAGCCCGACGGTCAGAGAGAGTGGATAATGCAGCTTTGTCAAGTGCTGTTATAACAACACAAAAAAACACAAAAAATATGCAGACCAAACAAACGAGTGGCCGCCATGACTGGCGCCGCGTGACAATAAATGATATACTTGCTCTCCCCATTGCGGTAAAATCATCACGCTATAAAGGGAATAAATGATGTTTTACCATTTCCTCCTATGGAATGATAAAGGTGACAAAATCAAGAGAAAAGTTATGATCAGTGAACCTGAGTATGGAGGCCTGAAGATGATTGTAAACAACAACGGAAACTGGAAACTTCTCTTCGATTTAGAACTGAAAATGAACGGCTGCGAGTTCATTATCTCAATGTCTCTGACACTAAGAAAGGAGTTTGGGTTACGGACCGTTTTGGTTCAACTCTTTAGTAAGGATAGATAGTAAACCGACTTTTTTTAAAGAGTGTGGTTTGAAGGAGGTATCTCCAAAGTTAAACACCTCCAACCAGGGAACAGTAATTTTCTGACGCTCAAAGATTTTGCCTCTAAACATGACTAAAGAGTACGCCCGCTCAGCTTTTACGGTCTATTATCAGCTGTTAAACAAATTCGCAACAATGTTACCGATACGGCTGAGACAAGAGACGATGACTTTGAAACATAGTGACAAAATTGTCAAAAGATAAAGCCGGGCCATTAATTTACAAAAAACTGATCAAAGCAAAAAGTTTAACCCCACGTACAATTAAAAGCCAACGAAAGTGGCTTCAAGACTGTAACTACTCAGACGAAGAAGAACAATTTAATTGGGAGCCTGCCTATCATATGGCACTGACAGTGCACAAAAAGCACCCAACTGATTGAGTTTGAATTTAAACTATTATTTACATAGGCGCATACCAACCGATGATTTCTTTCTTAAAATAGGATGAAAAGAAAACGACAACTGTACTTTTTGCAATAACTCCTCAGAGACGCTAATTCATCTTTAAAAAAAAACGAAAAAACGAAATCCCTATGTGGCCCTCCTGGGCTTCCGTAGCAGCCGTGCTCAGCTGGCTCGACTGTAGATCGACTGCAGCACGACACTAGCACGACTTTGTTTCAGACGTCGAATTTAATTCAGTCGAATAGAACGGCTGTTGCCGAAAACAAAACACAATAATAAAGAAACGGTTTGGCAAACTTTCAAATGTACTTTAACGTATTTATAATTATTTATGAATTGAGTTCGGCATGGCAGTAGCGCGACGTTTGAAACCAAGTCGAGTTACTGCCGTGTGCTACACGGCGGTAGCACGACTTGGTTTCAAACGTCGCGCTACTGCCGTGGTAAAGTCAAATTTAATTCGATCAATTTAGTTCGGCACTGCAGTAGCACAACGTTTGAAAGGGCCTTACTACCTGATCACTTTTTCCTGTTTTCTGTTTTAGGCGATAACATAGGACTAACAACTTAAGACAAGAGTAATATGTGTTCCATTACCACGATTTTTATCTAAAATTACCCACCCTTTACCCTCAGTAATCAAAAGATCAGCAACAACATTTTTTGATTGGGCTTTGCCTGAAGGGCAATCCAATAATAAAATATAAAAAAAATATGTATACTTGTCCGTTTTAAGCTACATTTGTTTGAATGTAAAAGAAAATAAAAAGGGTTCCAGGGTGGAATTGGTGAACGTCCTCAATGGAACATATTGAATTTAGATATTAATGGCTGTACCATTTATGATTAAATGAACTATTTTATTACATAATAGGGAATGTACAGTACAGTCTATTGCAAAGGTAGATACCGGCTGAAAAAAATGAGCTTTTGACGGGAGCATATTTTGACGGAGTACGGGTTCGATCTTAATTATAAGAACAGAATTTTGTGATGTACGAGCTTATGTGCAGTGTACAGACTAGTTTTTCCCTACACACTTTCTAAGGTTATAAAGAAAGATGTTGGACAAATAAAGAGAAATAAAGGGCCTCGCTTGCCTTATTTGCAAGAAACTCTTCTCCCCTTGAATTGTGACCAGTATTATTAAATCTAGTAGTATTCTCCATGTAATTTTCCTGATAAATCAAAAACGAATGTCATGAGAATAAGCAATATTAGGATAACAATAGTAAAATTAAATATTTCAACTTGTATCTCAATGAGTTACGAAGGAAATGTTTGAAGAACAGCGTGGATTCAGTTATGATTTTGAGCAATGTGAAATTTTAATATTCTAGATAATATCATTTTATGCCGGATTCAGTTTCATCCTATTAATTATTTCATTAACAATCATGCTGCATTTGCTTTTATTCTTGAATGTCCAGATCATGGAGAAGCAAGTAGTGGAGGTGGAACCGTTGGACCTGGTGTTGCTGTTCCTCCAGGTTTAAATATCAAGCAGAGTCAAAATGACCAAGGTATACAACTTACTAAAAGTGTAACGAAACCCTTTTTAGCCTGAGAAAACAGCAGACATTTCGCGACGCCTTCTTTGGTTTCCCCGAGGAATGACATTTGAAAAACGAGCGCAATAATTTTGTACTGATGACGCTTCACTACCCAGATCTGGATCTTTCTCCTCCGCAGAGGCCTCATTGTGTTGTAATTGTGGGGAGGCGCGCGGAGCACGATCGTCCCCCGCGTGCTTTCTTTTTTTTTTTCGCTTATTGCTATTTTTATAGGGATACCCAGCGGGAGCCTTTGTGGAGGAGAGAGGATCTGGATAGTGCTTCTGATTGGTCGTGCCGCGTGGGAAATTTGCTTTAACAATCAGAAGCAGTACCCAGATCTGGTAAGTGACACGTCATCAATATGGAATTTCTACGCTCGTTCCTCAGACGTCATTTCGCACGGAAACCTGTGGTGGCGTCGCGAAAAATATCGGCTGTTTTCTCAGGCTTCCTGTTGAGATCATGGAAAACATTCTTTCTAAAGTAGATCTTAAACGTAGTAAATAGAGGAGACTGATTATGGAAGCCGGTAAAAATTAAAGATGAAAATAACGGTGCTGCAGTTTATGTTGGGAACCTCCCTGATCGTGCACAATCTTTTGTTTTAGTTCACAAATTCAACTTCTGTGCGTCAGGGCTCACGTGTAGTTTCACGTGACTTTTTATGACCTTTGTTGTAAATAAACCCCGAAAGTAGGCACCTTAAGCAACGGCGACAACGACGGCAGTGAAAACGTCGCTAAAAAAATTAATTTGCCTCCTTTCAAACTTAATCGCGTCTGTTTGGACCCGCTCAATATGTCAAATGCAGGCGACTTTTCCTGAAGTTGAATTCTGAAGGATTTTGTTCAGGTTCAAAATGAGGAAGGAAAATTCGTCGTCGTATGTCCACCTCCTCGATAAAACGTCAAATTAGGTTTCACCTCGTATTCGTGCAGTGGACGTCAAAGAAATGTACTTAAAAGCGTGATGCACGTGCAGAGCTGTTGTTTTGATCATTAAACCAATCGTAACAGCAAGTGGTAACGTTGCGAGTATGCGCGAGCCGCTGGACGGAAGTTTGTGGTGGTATTGGATCGCAGCGAATGCAGCAAAGAAAAATGGCGCCTCTTTTAAAAATTACCATCGTCTTAGTCATCTGTTCTATCTTTGTGGAGTGCAGATAAGGCAAAGTCTTCTTTGTAATATGCGAGATTGGTCTCAAGGCTAATAAGTCGCAGATCATTCACAATTTTGCGCGGTTTGTGGTCCATAAGTGTTATTGTTTCGTGTTTTGGCTTGCGTGCGGACACGTTGATGGGGTTCTGTGTAACAGCTGCAAAACTCCTCTATTAAACACTGGATAACTGGGAAAAAATCTCTTCATGTAAGTTGTGACCGAGTACAAAACGTCCGACGCTTACGATTTGAATAAAACGCTGTGAAAAAAAATTCTAAATGCTAGTCTGTTTATATAGTCATAACTGCAGTTCTTGCGACAATCCCCTTGCAATAATACGATTTCACGTCAGTTATGGTTCAGAAACGCCCTGTTTTTCAGAGATGTGCAACCTTAGTGCAGTGATTCTGCCAGTGATTACTTTTCAGAGATACCCCATTTCTAACCACCAGTGGCCAAAGCAGGTGCAGTGCCCTAATTCTGCGACTGATAAAATTTCAAAGATATCCCACCCAGGGCTATGAAATTGTAAGTTTCCTTTTTTGACTAGATGATATAAAACTGAAGACCCAAACTCAAGAAATGACATCTATTACATCTATGTGATGCCTTAACTTATTCAGGGGTGTAGGCAGAATTTTGTAATATGGAGGCTCTTGACTCCAAGATGCCCCTTATACTTCTAAAATAAAGAATTAGATGAGCCAAAACAGGAGTGTGGTACAAGATGTTTCATATGATGTGTTTTATTGAGGTAACCCTAACCATGAAAAATCCTTCTCTTTACTCCCCACACTTCTACATACTAGAAAATTGCAAATATGCACACAACAGTGAAAATACTTAAAATAGTAAAGATCATAGTCATATCTAAAACTACATTTTCTCTCTGAGACATTGAAGTGCATTTTCTGCTTCTGATACTTCCATGCTTGCACTCATTTTTGCTTTTCATAAATTTTGTTGTTGGTATTTTCTACTGCACATGTGTTAATTATTTAAGATATAACTAATAAGGCCTAGCTCCCTTGACTAGCCCATATCTGGGCTAAGATTAAAAAATTGAAAATGAGAGAAAATTAGCTCTAACTTTTCCTTTTCATTCAATTTCAACATAAGGAGAACTTAAGGATCGTAAAGCCTGATATTTATAAAGTCTGAGTTTATGGTAGCTTCAAGTGAGCCAATGTATGACTCATTAAAATTAAAGCTTGTCTGTGTGTCTTCTGGGGCACCAAGGCTATTTGATGCAGTTCAGGATGGAGTGACAGACCCTTCACATTCTGCAGACAGCATAGGGTAAAATAAAAAACAGATAGTCGCCATTTTGTACCAGCTCTGCTATGGCTTAAGTGAAAAGTGCGACTGGTTTAAATGTGACGATGCAGTCGTCCTCAATGACTATCACCTGAATCAACAAGGTTTAGTGCTGAGCATCTCATAGGGAGCTCCTGCAACAGGAAAAAGGCAAATGAAATTTTTCATAACTTGTCATCTTGTGACACCAGGAGCATCAATGAGCTTGTTTCAGGGGCAATTTTACATAAATTGCAACTTGTGCAGCCTATGATATATGACGATATACACTACTACAGTGTATACACAGCCAAACCAACATTGGCAAGCCAAGTGCTCCTAAATTCATTTGCACAAACACTGAATATATGAGACCCAGAGTATCAAAAGATCTATTTCTATCGGAGAGTGAAAAGTTACCCCTGTGGCATTTAGTTGTTGCCCACAACTAGTGATACCCCTTTAGATATTTCAGGATTTCTAAAGTGTCATGGATACGAATTTATGTTCAAGAAGGAAAGAAATCTTTTGGATAGAAAAGGAATAATAACATTTATGATTTTTGTAAGCGTACAAATACATTGTATGTGATGAAGCTAATTCTTGTGTGGATGCCAATGTAAGGAATCAAATAGAGGGATTTCATGTCCAGTGTTGTCTGTACTTCAAACAGGAATGGCAGTCAAGCAAGTGCAAAGGTGAACAAGGGCAAGAATTGTTTTGCGCTTGAACTTGTGCTAGTGTCAAAGTGGGAGTAATATTGAAATGGTCATATGAAAATGCATTAAATCACACTTATTAAATCACTTTTATAGTAGGGCAGGGAAAAGAATGCACATATGTGTATTTTCATATTTTATATTGATTTCAGTTATGTTTTAAGACATTATGTAAACATTTTAAGCATAACATTACAATTCTTTTAGGCGCCAATTTTGTATGTATAAACAAATCATCATTGAATAATTATCAGAATAAAATCATCTTCCAAATGGTGAGGGTTCTTGTCAGTGAATCTGAGAGCTTACAGTGCATGATTATTAAAACGCAAATTCATCAGTGTTCCCCCCCCTTGGATGCAAAATCAAACATTCAAGAATGAAAGAGTGTTCCGAAACAATGCTCTTACAAATAAGTTTTGTTGGGATATACTTTTACATGTTAACGAAAAATCTTAAAACAAGGTTGAAAAGGACAAGAAAAATTTGTCCATCTTTAACGAAGTTTTAGCAAATAATATTTCAAAATCCACCGCATCGATCTCTTAATCTCTGAGAATAAGTAATCGCCATAGAACACCAATGTAAACCAGAAAAGCAAATTTTCGAAAATGGAAGGAAACATCCGACTACGGCCTTACTTGTAAGAGTAGGAAATTTGCTTGTTGATTTCATGCCGCTAAATAGTATCAAAATACTCGAACTTCCCCCCTTTGAATTAACCATTAAAAGTGAAAATACGGAGTGACCGAAAGGGAAGTTTAACCTGTTTAGTCGCTTGTGTGGGATATATAACTGGATCTCGCTGTACGGTCAGGGTCAAATACTACAAAAATACCAGGGTCACATAACTTACGTTGAATTCAAGTTGCTATAATTTTAACACATAACATTTGATGATGCTGCTCCACATTTCAAAAAGTAAATCAAGGGGTATATCTTACCTAAATGTTAGGCAGCTCTGCAGATCGTGGACAATAACCCAGAAATCCGTGACCGCTTGAATGTCAACAAATCAACATATCACAACAAGCGACCTCGTGAACGCTTTATCTGCTTCATCAGAGGAGCCAAATGGACGAAAATTAACCACCTAAATGGTCCTTCTCCCATACATGACACTTCAACATAGCTTAGCCAAAGTATCCAATCTATAAGACATGTCTGTTGTCGATTGGGTATGCAAAAAAATCTCCCTTGAAAGTGCTTCAGGACGGCTTTCGGCCATTACGATTTCCCGACAGCAAGTGCTTCCAAGCAAGCTTGACGCATGCGCAAACGTTACCACTTGCTGTTACCAATCGTTATTTGAAGTTGTCGTTGTGGCCGTCGTCGTAGTTGCTTAAACTCTCTAGTTCTAGCCTCCCACGCAGACATTCTTAGGGGATCGTCACACGTTCTTGTGTGACGAACCCCCTAAGAACGTCTGCGTGGGAGGCTACGAAAGTTCGGACATCCGTTCTCTGCCACATACTGTATTTGTACGAACTACGAGTCGCTATTTCAAGTCGTGTTAATTCATAAATTTTATTTCCCTTTCGCTGTTTGAAACTCGAATAGTTTAAGGTTCAAAACTGTCAAAGCAGCAGAATAAGGGCGATTTTAAGGCGAAGAGCATGGCAGAACTGCAGGAACGAGGAGGGCTTGTAGTGAGAATTCCCGCCTCAGCAGCTGAGACGGTTTTAACATTGGAACTAAACTTCGAAAGATTAAAACCGGTGATGTAGGCAAATTTTCTAATACATACATAATTCCATTTCAAAATTCATGGTCACACGCTATTAATTTCCAATCCATTTTCGCTATAAAGACCGTTTGGCTAAGGGTTGTTTGACATTATATTTTCAACTGTATGCTACGGCAAACAGGGCTCGACACTTTTGATGACGGTTATGTTGGTTATTTACTAACTGCTGAGTTGAGTCAAGAGGCTGTTCATATATCTGTTATATACCTGTAGCACAAAAGTGCAGGCTTCTGTGAACATGTACTGGCTTTGTATTTCAACGTGTAGAGACAAACGGAGGCAGTGTACTTCAGGCAAGATAAGCATATATTTACGTGTTTAGAAGGCGGTCGAGACAAAAATGTAAGCACATTGTGGTATCATGAATTATAGTGTGTCTGCATTATTAGATCCACCGGGCAAAACCATTCTTTCGACTGCAGAGGAGATTTCCACTCGCTTGTTAAACTCCATATTCCGGCGAATATTTGTTCTCGAGGCAGTTAAGTCACTCCTGATCGATCTTCTGCTTTGACATTTTAAATCTTAAACTATTCGATTTTCAAACAGCGAAAGGGGAGGAAAATATACTAGCAGTAGCCGTTGGCTAGGAAGTGCGGGCAAAGATGTGATTGATGAAAACCGCTTTCATAACTGTGTCGGTGAATCAGAGAAAGCCCTTCTCACCAAGGTTTTAGCCAGAAGGGTGTCCAGCCGTCCTATGGACGGCCATTTTTGGAAGAAATACAAGGAAAATGTACTTAATCTCTTATAATTTTATGGGAAAACATGCCTTCTGGACGGCCAGTTCTCAATGTCTGGCTAAAAGCCTGCTTCTCACACACCTCTGGAAGCCATTGTCAAGCTGGCCGCCGCCAACTGACTATTTAATTTCTAAAACCAACTCAGCGTAAGATTATACGTAATGTAGGCAAAATACAGTAATATGAAACAACAGATATAAGCTTAGTAAGAATCTATGCTGACAATCTTAATAAAGAATATCTAATCAACAGAGTGTATGTTTTCAACTCAAACGAAGAGTTGGATGGGAACTGGGGCTCTGAATTTTCGTCAGCAATGGTGGACAGCAAAAACGCAACCGACACTGAGCACGTGACTCAAAACAACCCCTCGGGTCCAGGCCCCAGCGGTTTGTGAGAAAACATTTTCCACTTATTTCTTTCCTCAGCTAGTGGAAAATACAACTTCTCACACACCTCTGGGAGCCATTGTCAAGCTGACCGCCACAAATTACAAAGCATAGAGAGCCCAGCATTACAAAGGCACAAGCAACCAGCCTATGTTAGTCTGCGATACTATGGAAAGTGTAACGTCCGCAGAAGTTCTTAACGAACCCACATTGTCCATACAGCAAGCAAGTCCGGATCCTTAACTCCTAAATTAATCCTTAAACCCTTAATCATTTAATCCATAAAATGTTCCGATGCCTATGAAGACCTCCTACATCAAGAGGCCACTTAACAAACAGTCTTCAACCTGAGGCATGAATCTTTCTCGTAGCTAGCAGCAAGGAGTCCAATGATTCCTGGATATAATTGTTTTTTGCCTGGGCGCTTCTCCATCCCCCCTGCCTCTGGAATAGGCGATCTGGAATCTCAAGTGCTGCCGCAGACGAAGCATCCCCTGACCGGAGGCTGTGAAGACTATACAGGGTTGGGTCCAACCCCTCATTCTTCAACTCTTTCTTTACCAGCTCGTCCGCACGAGAATACGACATAGGAGCTTCCTTAAGCACCTGGCCTCTCTTTGTGCTCTGGATCCTGCGAAACAGCCTTGACCCTTCGGAATGACTGCCCATCTTAAGGAACTTCTCTAACACTGCCACAGGCCTCACTTCTTGCAATGAAGACCCATCACCCTTCCCGGAATTGGTCATTCTTACGTTGCAGCAAAAAGAGTGCAACATGCGAATCAACAAATAACAGATCATCCACTACCAGATTGCTTAAATCATCCCACCGTAAGAAACCGAAAAACCCCGTGGCAAATATCGCTGCAACTTGTACGTCTGCCAGACTGCCCTTCTCCAAACGACATATAATGCGCATCACTTGATCTGCCGTAAGGGGTTTCTTGCGTTCTGGTAGCCTAGCCAGGATTCTACGAGCAGCATCCGCCACCTGGGTCATGAAAGGGTGCTCAGTGACTTGTGGGTGGCCCACCTTCTTCTGTACCCAGCTCACTACATACAAAGCAGAGTTAATGGTAGGAACTGACTTGTTCTCCTGGATCATCTTAACTAAATACAGGGAACACCACTGGCTCCACTGTTAGAACTGACACACGGCACTGCTCCGCCCAACACTTCCGTGCCCCAAACGCATGGAGATAACTGTTGACCGTCTTTGGAGCTTTATCTTGAAGCAGAACTGAGGGCAGCACCGTGGCCAGCTGATGCAGCACTGGCTGCTGCAGTCCATCCACAGGTACCAAAAATGACAGTTCCAACTTGCCAGTGTCACCACTTCGCACTGAAGTCACATAACACGACAGTGTAAGGAACCCAAAAAACATATAAGCCCTGACAGCAAATTGTTACACGAAGACCCAACTCAAGGATATGCTAAGTAACTTACAAGGCATGCTGCCCAAACATCATCAATTACAATTCCCCAGTTAAACAGCAAAACGCTAGACCCAAAAAACATCTGCTACCAACATGTACAGATGTCGCATACTAAGAATGATATGTACCATGCCCTAACGACAGCATGGAAAATGCCACCACAGCATTTGACTAGCCCTAACCACAAAGAAGATAGCCATAACGACATTAGAGACATGCCCTAACAGCATCTGTCACTAGAAAAGCCCTAACATGCCATAACAGCATCTGACACCAGTGAATGCCATAACAGCATCAGTGACATGCCCAAATGGCACACTAGGTCGCTACAAATGTATTCCCCATACCTGACCAACATAGGGGTTACGCTCTTAGCCTTTGCCAAAGCAATGCCATAACAGCATATCAGGTGCTTCCCACCAGATCACTAAAACAAATCCTAAAGGCTAAAACAGCAAATGATGGAATTCCAGAAGGGAAGATACTGCTGGCCGCAGACCCTGAGAGGAAGATTCCCTGGTAAGGTTCAATCCGCAAACACTCCTTTATAAAGCTTTTCCAAGTACCAGACCTGTCAACAAGGAGACGCCACCACACCGCAGAAGGCCACTCAGGAGCTCCGGAATAAGCAGGGGAGGTGGAAAAATCCAATTGTTATCCCGTGACCAGGAAACCGTGAACGCATTACTAGCCTCACAACCAGGGTTGCGGTATCGACTGCAATACCGGTCCAGCTGTTTGGTTTTAATGCTGGCAAATCTGTCGACGGTATGAGGTCCCCATAACTGATCAATATAACCAAAGCACTTGGGATCCAGCATGTAGTCAGTAGCATCCTCCACTCTTGAAAGCTCATCAGCAGTGCTATTATCATTTCTACTGACCCACTGCACAGATAGCCGAATGTTTAATTCACGACAAAGTTTGTAAACTGACACCGCCTCCCTATGAAGGTCTGGTACTCGACTACCAACGGACATTATGATCTCTGCATTCCTGTTGTCAGTTCTGTGACACACCACTTTCCCTCGAAGGTCCTCGTCGTACGAATCCAACACAAACCGTATGGCTCTTAACTCGCGGAATGTAGAGCTCCTGCCACTCTCTTTCTCTGACCAGCTTCCCACAGCTGGTTCACCATTAATGTGAATGGCAAAGCCTCCCCAACCGAGACCGCTAGCCTCCGAATATGTTGAGACCTCGACTTTAGGGCTAGGTGCCCATATCCTAGGCTTTCTTTTCGCAACTGCAAAAGTTGGATATATAACTGTGATGTCAAGCAATTGCGATGATCTTGCTTCATATAATTCTTCACTCGGCAGTTCACATGTATGATTTTCATATATTCATAACTTCATCATCATTCTTCCACGGGTTTATAACAAACCAATTCAACGACCTGCTCCTAGTCGGCACTTTTCCTACCGCTGAACTCAACGTCGGTTTCTCCAAAACACGCCTCTCCACTCCGCGCTGCCTTGTATCGGCTGCTTGGACTTCAACTTTGCATTGCGTTTTTCCTCCTGTAGCAACTTGCACTCCTTGACCGCTTTTTTAATCTTCTTTTCATCATCCGAGTCACTCGCGATGGAATCAGTGGTGTAGCATTCCACGGTATTCCAGCCGTACTTTTCGGCGACGCAAATGTGTTTGTTACGTTCTATCAATAACTGCTCACCTTCCTCCAAAATCTCGCTCCTTAAGTCATCGTCGCCCACATCCTTCGCCGCTTTGATCTTCTCAAATACTTTCTTGTTTACTTGGTATTACTTCTTATTACCTTCGAATTTAAATTCGGGTTCAGTCACCTCGCGCTTTCCCGCCTTATTAGGTTTTGAAGCAAGTTCCGCTTTCAATCGTTTAAGCTACTTTCCGTACTCCTTTTGCAGCAAAAGCAACTCTTCAACCCAATCCGGGGGATCATTAGAAAATTGCGGTGGTCCTCACCGGTCAGAGCGATCCAGTGACTGCTCTCTAGCTGTCTGACCACGCTCTTGCTCCACCACTGGACTCCAACTTCGCGAACGGCAAGAACTGTGACTACGAAACCGGCGCTCTTTTTCTCCGGGCTCTGATTATACGCTCGTAGCCGCTTCACCGCTTTAGACTGAGAGTTTGCCCTAATCGTCTTAGCACTAGTGGTACAGCACAGGCGATAATTGGCAATAAAACCTCGAAAAACTATCGTGCTCTGAAATTCTCGTCAGCAATGGCGGACAGCATAAAAGCAACTGACAAACAACACTGAGCACGTGACATAAAACAACCCCTTAGGCCCAGGCCCCAGCGGTGTGTGAGAAAACATTTTCCACTTATTTCGTTCCTCAACCGGTGGAAAATACAACTGAGTTCCAGTCTATCAACAAAAGGATATCACTGCCGACCATGAAAACTGGATTGAGCAACACAGTAAACAAGACTCGTATTTAATTCAACGATTTTACTCACATTTTCTTAGATACAATAAACCTGCGAATGGTGAGGAGTGAGGAGACGGCTGTATTCGCCGACAAAGATACCTTGAAACAGTAATGCGTGACACAAGTAATGCATTTTTACAGTCATGACTGCAGAAAATCTTACTTAAATTCAATCGAATATTCAGTCTGTGTCGAATGACCAAAGGCAGTTGATATGCAATAGAAAATAGTGAAACAGCTTAAATTACTACTGGAGTTTAAAGCTTATTGAAGTTTTCGCTCAGATGACAAGCGACGTAACATGCTTGGAAACGTATAAAAATGTAAAAACCATGCACCGTAGTAAAACCCGAATAACCTTACATCGATTTCTAGACATTGCTAACACTCGCATCTTACCGAAAACTTGTCCCGCACTAAGTTGAGATCAGGCTCTACTTTCATTTTCCTGGGTAAATAGATTCCAGGCCAGCAAGGCGAATCGAAAAGTCTCCCATTTAGTACAGTACTTGTGTACCTGAATTACGTAATAATGAATGTAATAATGATTGTTGCATCACCTGCATGTGCATTTACGTGATTACCGTGACATTACACGGACCTTAAACTCAACACCAGGGCCTTCGCGGCCACATGCCATGCATATTAGTCGGTACAGCACGGGAATCCCAAGAATGGGGGCAGATTCGAGAAAAATCTCGTTATAGTTAATAAAGTGCCGCTGACCAAGTCAAGATTAGGCTGCGGGCTCCTCTTGTCGCCCACAATAAGTTAACGCAGCTTGTGCAAGTACAGTATGTGGGAGAGAACGGTTGTCCGAACTTTCGGGGTTTGTTTTCAACAAAGGTCATCAAAAGTCACGTGAAACTACACGTGAAATCTGACGCTCAGAAGGTGAATTGTGACTGAATAAATTCATGGAACGTTCCTATTGGTCAGTTAGTTGACAATGCTAGGACTTCTTCTTTCATATAATTCTTCACCCGGCAGTTCTCATCTATGATTTTCATATATTCATAACTTCAATGATAGGACTGTTGTTATAATAACGGACGTTGTAAACGGTCAAGTCCAAAAAGCCACAAAAACATGACAGAGAAGTTGCATGGGCGGGCTTAATAACCAGTGCTCTCCATTACATATGGCTTAAACACATCAGTGACAGCTACGAGAATGTCAAAAAGCAACAAGTTAAAAAAGCAAAACAACAACTCGTGCATCACAATTTATTATGTGCAGTCACTACACGACTCCAACGTGAAATCTTTTGCTGATGCGACGTTTTATGAAGGTACTTGGATTTGACCCAGCCTCCCGATAACATTTGCCTACACTTGCAAATTGAGGGAATAGACCTATTTCGATATACTAAAATTCATACGTGGCTGCCAAGCTTGGGGGAATAAAACAAAAGAAATCATCTTGAGGCTCAGCAATGAATAATACATTTCTTTTGTTTTATCTCCACAAGCCTCGGAGCCAAGTATGAATTTTGATATATTGAAACTGGTCCGTTGGAATAATCACAAATTGAAGTTTAAAAGAACACAAATTGACTTAGGTTTCGTGACACTTTTGTTGCCGTCACCATCGTTTTCATTAAGCTGTTCTCTATTAACAAGGTAGTGTAGTGGTATTAAACATTTGAGAGGAAAGAATGTGGTTGTAACAGAGCGATTTTCATTAGACCTTGGAAAAATGGTTTCCCTAAGCGTTTGTTTAATATTTGCTTTATCAGCCAAATAGTTGAAAAATCAGATCAAAACATTCGCTCGTCGTTTCGCTCCATTTTTCGATTGTTCAATCGGAAGCCCAGGCCCGTTGCCTAAGGTTATAAAAAATTACTTTTCAGCAGCCTTTTTTCTGTCCGGAATGCGTCAAGTGTCTGGAGTTGAAGAGTGTATTCTCAATTACATTTCTCAATAATGTTCTTGCTCCTTTGTTGTTTAATTTTTGTTCATGCGAAATCATTTGAAGGTCAAATGAAAATCTCTCTAACCAGACTTGTCAAAAGCTGGGCTTCCATCCTAACATTTTAATACATTATCCAACCTCAGTTTTGAGATGGAAATGGGAAGGGGTTGGTACTGTTACTGGAACTGCTGCGTCTGGATACCATGACACCCTCCGCACAACTGTTTACCTATATGAAGTTATGAATATATGAAAATCATATATGTGAATTGCGGAGTGAAGAATTATATGAAGGAAGATCATCGCAGTTATATATGCAACTTTTGCAGTTGCAAAATGCTTTCTTTTCGCCGCTGCAAAAGTTGTATATATAACTGTGATGATCTTCCTCCATATAATTTTTTACTCCGCAGTTCACATATATGATTTTCATATATTCATAACTTCATCATCATCCTTCCACGGGTTTATAACGAACCAATTCAACGACCTGCTCCCAGTTGGCTTGTTAGCTTAATTGGTAGTGCGCTGCACCAGTATCGCAGAGGTCAAGGGTTAGAATCCCATACAAGCCTGAATTTTTTTCAGGCTTTCTTTTTGTAACTGTAAAAGTTGCATATATAACTGCGATGATCTTCCTTCATATAATTGTTTACCTATATGTTTTATTTCCAGGTGCTTTTGACCCAAGTGAATTTTTTAATGGCATTCGCCAACTCTACAGCACTCGTGAAAGATGGCTTACACCCTTTCCATGGTGGGAGATATTTCGATTAAGGCTTGATAACATCTTTACCAAACTCAAAATAGTGAGCAGGAAGAAGGAAAGGGGAACAAAGACTGATGAAATTGTTGCTATGAATGATATCTTCAAACCCCACGAAGAATGCGCTCATCCTAGGACGGTGTTAATTGAGGGGAGGCCAGGTATTGGAAAGACAACATTCTGTAATAAACTTGCTTACGATTGGGCAGCGAACAAACAAGGCTTGGAAAATCCTTCAGGAGGTTTTTTCCCAAACTTCCAAGGAGTTTTATTGCTTAAATGCCGAGAAATAGAGTCTCACCTTTTAAAGGCCACTGAAGCACGACTTCTCCCTCGATCTGAAAAAGAGAAAGCGAGCGAATTATTCAAATCTGTCCTTTGGGACGCCATCGATGACCAGCTCCTGCCACGAGATGGCACAAAAGAAGATAAAGAGGAATTCTTCAAATTCATTCCCCATCAGTCGGACATTTTACTGATTCTTGACGGATTGGATGAGTTACCTACCAATTTGTTAACAACGTTTAAGGAAATAATTCAAGGGAGAATGCTACCAAAATGTCACATTGTAGCTACAGCACGACAGGAGGTTGGAATAAAGGTGCGAGAATGCTGCAATACCTTGCTAGATATGGAAGGTTTCACTGAAGAAGACGCCCGACAATTCATTTACAGGTACTTTAAAGAGGACGTGAATTTGGCCGAGAAGCTTTTAAACAAACAGGAGCATGATAGAAGTCTCCGACAGCTCACAGAAAGTCCTTTAAACACTGTACTTCTTTGTCTCCTTTGTGAGGACTCTGATGGTATTTTTGCAGAAAGTGGTACACAGCTGTATCTAGAAATGGTAGAGTGTGTTCTTAGAAGATACAGAAAAAAGAAGGGATTACCATTACCAAAAACCAATGACGAAGAACTCACTAAAGTATACAAGACTCAACTAAGACAGCTTGGCTCCATCGCGTGGAACGGTCTGCTTCGCAATGTCATGTCCTTCGAGGAAGGCCAGTTTCAAAATTGTTCACACGAAATACCTGAATTTGGCTTTCTGTCCGTTGAATGTGGCCGGAAAAAACTGAGACCATCTCTGAACTACTGCTTTTTCCATAAAACATTCCAGGAACTGTTTGCGGCATTTTACCTCTGTTGCCTGGTTATAGATAAAGAAATTTGTCCAGAAACCTTAATTACTGACAAGAGATATTTCAGTGAGCTCAAACAGGTGCTTTTGTTCACATGCGGCTTGCTAGCCTTGCAATCTGAAGAATTGTTAAAGACTTTAGTCACGAGCATTGCTTATCAAGTAAACAATGAAGATACGTTCTTAGTCGCATTGGAATGCATTCGCGAGTGTAAAAACGAGAAGGGAGGTACTAGTCATGGACTATTAGCTCCAACCCTTGGCTCACATCTTCAAATAACGCAGTTGAATTTGTCTGGAAAAGGCCTTGGTACTGGTGACTGTACTGCACTAGCGGAAGCAATCAAACACAATTCGACAATAACACAGTTGGATTTGTCAGGGAACGAAATTGGCACTGGTGACTGTACTGCACTAGCGGAAGCAATCAAACACAATTCGACAATAACACAGTTGGATTTGTCAGGGAACGAAATTGGCACTGGTGACTGTACTGCACTGGCGGAAGCAATCAAACACAATTCGACAATAACACAGTTGGATTTGTCAGGGAACGAAATTGGCACTGGTGACTGTACTGCACTGGCGGAAGCAATCAAACACAATTCAACAATAACACAGTTGAATTTGACAGACAATGAACTTGGCACTGGTGACTGTACTGCACTGGCGGAAGCAATCAAACACAATTCAACAATAACACAGTTGGATTTGTCACGGAATAGACTTGCTACTGGTGACTGTACTGCACTGGCGGAAGCAATCAAACACAATTCAACAATAACACAGTTGAATTTGTCACGCAATCGCCTTGGTGAAGGTGGCTTTACTGTACTGGCGGAAGCAGTCAAACATAATTTGACAATAACACAGTTGGATTTGTCAAAGAATGACATTGGTACTGGTGACTACACTGCACTGGCAGAAGCAATCAAACATAATTCGACAATAACACAGTTGAATTTGTCAGAGAATGACATTGGTACTGGTGACTGCATTGCACTGGCGGAAGCAATCACACACAATTCAACAATAACACAGTTGGATTTGTCTCTAAACAGCCTAGGTAATGGAAGGTGTGCTGCTTTTGCGGAAGCGATCGAACACAATTCAACAATAACAAAGCTTGATTTAATAGGCAATAAGCTTGATGCTGGCGACTGTAGTGCACTCGCGGAAGGAATCAAACACAACGCTACTATAACACAGTTAAATTTGGCATGGAACAGACTTGGTACTGGTGACTGTATTGCACTGGCGGAAGCAATCAAACACAATTCAACAATAACATTTCTGGATTTGTCAGCCAATGATCTTGATGGCAGTGACTGTACTGCACTGGCGGAAGCAATCAAAGACAATTCAACAATAACACAGTTGAATTTGTGCAAGAATTATCGTGGTGTTAGTGACTGTAATGCACTGGAAGCAATCAAACATGATTCAAGAATAACACATCGTGATTTGTCAAACGATAACCCTAACTTTTTATCACTGGATTCACTGCTGAAGGTACTGTCGGTTTTAGCAACTAAAGTAAGCTTTAAAAAGTTAATTCCAACAGAAATTAAAAGAATAATTATAAAAGGCATGACCAAACGCAAAAAGAGTATTTTTAGGGGTTTTGGCAGCATTAGTATGTTTGAAATACTATGATATGCAAAGTAAGCTTTTATTTAGTATAATTTTATATTAAAAAACATTGATAGAAATATTGAAAAACTGGCCACTATGACAGTAATTCAGTGCAATAATATACTTTTATTTTTAGGCGCCTCGTTGGAATAATTTGCGTTTAATGACGACACTCGCTTGGAATCCTTTTCACCACACTCAAGATAGTGATCAGGAAGAATGAAAGGGGAAAAATGGCTAATAAAACTGTTTCAGTGAATAATATCTTCAGTCCCCACGAAGAAATGTCCACAGTCTAGAAAACTGTTAATTGAAGAAAGCCAGACATAGAAAGCACTACGTACTGCTCCCTGGAAACGTATGACATTTCAGACTAACGGCTGGGCTAAAACAAAACAAGAAGAAAACTCTTCAGAACATTTATTTCCAAACTTTTAGGAAGTGTTGTTGCTTAAAAGGAAAAGTATTAAGTCAACCTTTGGAGGTCCATTTAAGAGCGACTTTTCCTCTATTTGCCAAAGAAAAAGTGAGGGGTTTCTTGAGAAGCCATTGATTACCAGCTTCTACTTAGACAGTGGCTTTTTGAGAGGAAAGAAGAAGGAATTGTTTACCTTCAAACGCCATAATTAGCCAGACTTGTCACTGGTACTTGACGGATTTGATGAGTTACCTACCAGTATATTACCAGCTTTCAAGGGAGTCATTCAAGGAAAAATGCTCCCCAAGTGTCACATTGTAGTTACAGCCTCACATGAGGTTGGGATGAAGATGTGAGAAATCTGCGATAGCTTGCTAAAATAGAATGTCTTACCCAAGAAGACGCCCGAAGGTTTATTGTCATATTGGTCGAGAAGCTTCTAAAGGAACTAGAGCTTGACCAAAAACCTCAGACAGTAGGCAGAAAGTCCTTACAACACTGTACCTCTTTGCCTACTTTGTGAAGCCAGAAAGGGGTATACAGCTGTACATAGAAATAGTAGAGTGTGTCTTTATAAGACAGAAAAAGGGCGAAAATCTCAGTAAAGTATAAAGCAAAGATTTAGCCAAGCCTTAAAGCGGAGCTCTTTTTTGGATAATAAACTGCTCACTAGAGACAATACACTTCCAAACATTATATGACTCAGTCAACTCTAAGGATGCCCACATCGCTTCGGGCATTTGGCAAGTCGTGTCTATGGCGCGCCGTTTGTTTCAAAATTATTTTTGTCAGTTGTACCATTTCATTGTCTTTTTCGTTAAATTTTCCTTCTTTTATTTGGTATCATTTGCCGTTTCTTTTTAATAAGTCTCCTCTTGATTTTCGGCATTCATAGAGATACTGTGGTATAAACATATTCTCTGTGAGTTGTACGCGTCACTCCCTCGGATGTAAGCTGTACGGGCTACAAATTGTGGGTTTTAAACCTTAATTCTGTCGGTTGTAAATATATACTCTATCGGTTGTACGCACTACTCTCTCGGTACTCTGTCGGTTGTACGCACTACTCCGTCGGTTGTAAAATTTACTCTGTCAGTTGTATACAAAACTCTGTCGGTTGTACGCACTACTGACCGGTCGGTTGCAAATATTTACCCCGTCGGTTGTACACAAAACTCTGTCGGTTGTATGCACTATTTTGTCGGTACTCTGTCGGCTGTACGCACTACTCTGTCGGTTGCAAACATTTACTCTGTCGGTTGCAGGCACTAATCTGTCGGTTGTAACATTTACGCTGTCAGCTGTACGCACAACTCTGTCGATTGTAAATAATTACACTGTCGGTTGTACGCACTACTTTGTCGGTACTCTGTCGGTTGTGCGCACTACTCTGTCAGTTGGAAACATTTACTCTGTCGGTTGTACGCACTAATCTGTCGGTTGTAACATTTACTCTGTCAGTTGTACCTACTACTCTGTTAGTTGTAAACATTTACACTGTCGGTTGTACGTACTGCTCTGTCGATTGTAACATTAACTCTGTCAGTTGTACTTACTACTTTGTCGGTTGTACGCACTACTCTGTTGGTTGTAAATATTTACTCTGTCAGTTGTGTACATTACTCTGTCAGTTGTACGCACTACTCCGTCGGTTGTAGTCAGTTGCACACACTACTCTGTAGGTTGTAAAAATTAACTCTGTCAATTGTACACACTACTCTGTCGGTTGTACGCTCTACTCTGTCGGTTTTGTACATTGTTCTGTTGGTTATGTACATTACTTTGTCGGTTGTACGCACTACTCTGTCAGTTCTGTACATTACTCTACTGTACATTACTTTTGTACATTACACTACTCTGTCAGTTGTGCGCACTACTCATTCGGTTGTACGCACTACTCTGTCCGTTGTAAATGTTTACTCTGTCGGTTGTACGCACCACTCTGTGGGTTGTAAATATATACTCTGTCGGTTGTACGCACTACTCTGTCGGTTGTACGTACTATTCTGTTGGTTGTTAAACATTAACTCTGTCAGTTGTATGTAGTACTTTGTCGATTGTAAACATTTACTCTGTCAGTTGTATGCACTACTCCGTCGGTTGTACCCACTACTCCGTCGGTTGTGTACATTACAAATGCACGCACTACTCTGTCGGTTGTAAAGATAAACTCTGTCAATTGTACGCAATACTCCGCTGGTTGTAAATATTTACTCTGTCGGTTGTACCCACTACTCCGTCTGTAATATGTACATAACTCTGTCGGTTGTCCGCACTACTCTGTCGGTTGTAAACCTTTACTCTGTCAGTTGTAGGCACTTCTCTGTCGGTTATACACACTACTTAGTGGGTTGTAAACATTTACTCTGTCAGTTGTACGCACTACTCTGTCGGTTGTACGCACCACTCTGGGCTTACTGTAGTTTGCGAAACGAAATGGAGCGAAACGAAACGAAACGAAACGAAACGAAATGGAATTAAACGAAATGAAAATCTGTAGTTTGCAAAATGAGAATCTGTAGTTTGCGAAATGAAAATCTGTAGTTTGCGAAATGAAAATCTGCAGTTTGCGAAATTTGGGTTTTTGGCGCAGTTGCAAAATGGCTGAACAATGAATATATTAAGGCACATGCGTCAAAATAACGAAATATATAAATTGAACCCTCTCAAGGACTTAAAGATATATTTCACAGTCAAATACATTCTACCCAGAATACAAGTATTTGTATTTCACAGTCGGTATTCTACTATTGTATTTGGGTTTTTCTCTGTCGCTGTCGCAATATCAACCCATCTTTGTGTAGTTGTTTTTATTATCTGAGGAGGATGGATCGTTGCGTGACTNTATTGTATTTGGGTTTTTCTCTGTCGCTGTCGCAATATCAACCCATCTTTGTGTAGTTGTTTTTATTATCTGAGGAGGATGGATCGTTGCGTGACTAGTACACGACACAAAGAACCAGTGTTTAATCGACAAAGCACACCGAGTGGCAAAACCGACGTTAAAAACCACTTAAACTAATAAAATAAACTGGTGTAAATACAATGGAAAATAAACTATGAATTATGATCCTCTGTATATACCTACAATATACTGCAGATGAATTCATCGTCAACAGAGTAAAGGAACAGCTCGCGTGCGAAACCATACATGATGCAGCGGCAGCGAAAAAAACCTATCTAGCAAAGATAAAAACACGACAAAATCAAACTAAACACTAATAATTAAAGTGAAAAGTACCAAAAACGATTCACCAGACTACAATATAAATTAAAATGAAAGCGGACAATGAAAAAACACCGGAGAGATAAAGGAAGAACACAATAGTCTCAGTAAAAATCCCCGGACTTGAGAAATCTGGGAACGACAATGACCTGCGGCGCGCCATCTGTAGCAAAATCCCTTTTCGATGACATAAAACGAAACGTAACGAAATTCATAAAATGTAACGAAATACAACGAAATGAAATACAAATGCCATGAAACAAGATACCAATACCATGAAATCCAATCATTGAAATATGCCCGTTGCCATCGCTATATAAGGTAAGATGATCTTTTCGAAATGCATTTGCCTGGTTTTCTTTTCTCCCCTACCCTACCCGGTGTGGGAGTTAGTGGGTCATTGCCGTCCCGAAATCTCTCAAGTCCGGGGATTTTACTGAGACTATTTTCTTCTTCCTTTATCTCTCCGGTGTTTTTTCATTGTCCACTGTCATTTTAATTTATATTGTAGTCTGGTGAATCGCTTTTGGTACTTTTCACGTTAATTATTAGCGTTTAGTTTGATTTTGTCGTGTTTTTATATTTGCTTGATCGGTTTTTTTCGCTGCCGCCAAAGGTAGCCCAAGCTCGAAATATGAGCATCTGCACGAGCGTCGGCATTGTTGCGTAACATTTAAAATATAAGGATTTGTATGGGAAAAAAACCTATCGTTTCTGTAACTTACGAAAATGAAAGGATTTCAATAAAAAAACAGCTTACCTTACTTAAAATGTGTGTTATGTCTCTCCTGTGTGGTCCACGGGCCGATTTATGGCCGTTTTATGGGTTTTTATGTAAACGGTTTTCTCTCTATATAAAGGTTTACCAAGGTTGGGCACTCCAGCGAAGCCGCCCGACTGATCCACCGAAGGAAAACGGCCGGAAATTCGCTCCAACTGCTTCAATCGCCTCCAAATTCCGCCTAGGTAACACACGATAGTTCTTCTTTCCATTCGTTATCTTGCTTCAAGACTCCTTTGCACGGAGAGCGAATCAAGGTCGCAAATCTCTGCAACCTTTCCCGTCTGAAGCCATCGACTGAGGCTCGACTAGGCTTTGGTAGATTGTGCTAGCATAATTTTAAGCATAATTCAGCAAAACGAGCATTATTTTAAGCTTTTATTTCAGTTTAGCACTGCTAGCATAATCCGGGCTTTTATGCGTTGAAAACAAAAAAATCCATCATAGCTCTAGAATAATTCAGTTTTTATTTTATTTCTGTATTGTTTTTGGAAAATATTGAG